TCAATGCTGTAAATTTTCATATTCCTTCGGGCCTTCCTGCCAGTCTGCAGAAATCATGTCAAGTTAATAACAAGAAACCTGTTCCTTCAGCCTTAGAGATCCTTGGAGTAACTTCTTGAAGGCTGAGGTTTAATCTGCTCACTGCAGCATGGAAGATTTGAGAGGCCTACAGTTTATCTGGCTTCCAAAGCATCAGGCATCAAATGGGATTGTGGCAGGGCTTCCCTCATCCAGGTCTTTTCAGCCCTTGGATGTCTCATGGAAAGATTTTTCTTTGTAAATCTTGGTCTCATCTATCTAAGCTCCAGAGTAGGAGCAAGCATCCAGGCAGCTGTGGCCCTGGCTCACTGCTTGCCCGGTGGGTAGCAGAATTCAGTTCAGTGCTGTAAGAGGTGTGTCTTCAGAGGGCCTCTGCAAAAGCTTCCCCAGGCCTTGACCAGTTTGTTGTCTGTCTGTCTTAATTCTGGTGAAGATTGATCTGATCAGCTGAGAGCTGCCTCTCTGTGCTCACAGGTCCTGATATTCCTGAAACGGACGCTAAGGAGAGGTAAGTGTGACTGCGGCCAGGGTTTCCTATAGTGTGTTTCAGTTAAGGGAGAGGGACTAGTTCTTTCACTGGCTGCAAGTCGTAAGAACTTCTGGGGTTTTGCTACTTTACTGAGCATGGAATATTTTTGCAGCAAGTACAACATAGGAGGGGGGGATGGTGATGCACACAGAGGCCCCAGAGAGGAGCTTTAAGCAGTGGTACATGGTAGTGGTGAGGTAGTGAATGAAAATGAATCTGTAGGGCTAGCACACTGCTGTGAATTCAGCTGGCAGCCTAGTGCACGGGCTTTTCTCTTGTGCTCTAGCCTCCAAGACTGTGCTTTGAAATGGAATAAAGTTCTTGAATCCCATCAATGGCTTGCAACTCTGTGCACCGTGCTTAGCCCCCTCTGGCTTGGTAGTACTAAGTTACTTTACCTACCTGTATGTATCTCTGTCTCCCGTAGAGATCTTGTTTCGGGAGCTGGAGGTGCGGCAGGTGGCCTTGTGTCATCTGATCCATTTCCTCAAAGAGACTGGTGAGCAGAAGTTGCTTCTGGATCTGCTCAGGTGAGGCTCTTGCCCAGCCTTGTGGCAGGGCTGAGCATGCTGGTAGGAACTTACCTCCAGGTTAATGCTTGCTCATTCCCTTTTACAGGTTCCTAGACAGGACCGAGGAAGTTGCTGTGAGTATTCCCAGGAGCAGAAGCTGCCTTTCCTCAGTGAAGAGGGAGTGTAGGGGGCAGGGGGAGGCTGGCTACAGATTGTCTTACCAGACATTTATCAGGCTACCCCTTATCAGATGAGAGCTTTGCATCTCTATTTTGCCCTCTGGAGTCCTGTATCTCTCAAATCCATGAGAACAGACTGTGCTTCTTTTCCCTCTCCTTCCAGCTGTCCCAGTACCGGGAGCATTTGAACATTCAGGATGTAGAAAAAAGGAGGGAATTTCTGAAAGGCTGCATTGGGTAAGAAAAAAATGCAAGAGGATGAGAGGGATGTGGGTGCTTCACAGAAGGTGGTAGGAAAAAAAAATTAGACTTCTGTCCCAGTGCCACAACTTAGGTAGTTTGAGACCTGCTGTTGTTTTTGCCTCAATGGCAGTACACAATGTAGTCCAGAGAGGAAGAATTTGTGGTGATCTCTAGTCCAGCAGCTTTTGCTGCTTACCTGGGGGCAAAGATGCTTCAGGGACCTTCTGATAATTGACCCTTCAGGTTGTGAAGGATGAAAGCTTGGGTGCCTGAGCACTTGAGGAAATTAGTAGCATCAGCTTTAGGTTGTTCAGTGAGAGATGCCACATAATTCTTCCTTCTCTGGAGCCTGTCTAGGAGAGAGCCAGTTGGAGAGGGCAGTGGGGCAGGAGCTTGAGTACCTACTAGCCACTCAGGCTGGGGAGAATGGGAGGTGTTCCCCACATCTCTGTGGGGAGCATGTTTGGTAGAGAAGAGCATCCTTTTAAATGTACTATGTTAAGAGCTACTGACAGTGTCTCCTTCCCCCATGTCTGGCCAGGCTGCCATTTTCAGCTGAAGATACCTCCCACATCCAAGACCATTATACTCTGTTGGAGCGACAGATCATCATTGAGGTATGAAATCTTCCATGCTGGTCAGGAGATGACTAGGACTAACTGCAAGATCTCTATCTGTTCCTAAGTTATCCCACTTTGGATCTCACCAGCCTGCCCTGGCTAGTGTAGTTTAACTGCTATCCAAGCTGCTGTGCCAGGCACACGTGTGAAATAGCAGACCTGAGATTTTATGGCATGCTGAGACTGTGCTTGTGCATTGCTGTCTCAAAACTCTCCCCAGGTCTCTGCCCTGCCGCTAGTCAAGCAGTTGCCCTGGCACTTGTTCACCCTCTCTGTCTTCCTGTTTCTGCAGGCCAATGATCGGCGCTTGGAGACGGCTGGGCAGTCAGAGATATTTCGGAAATATCCTCGTAAGGCTTCTATTCTCAACATGCCACTAGTGACCACCCTCTTCTATTCCTGTTTCTACCACTACACAGAGGCTGAGGTGAGGATGATGCGGGAGAAGAGTTACTCATCCCTGTACCCCTCAATGTGGGGAGTGGTTATGCTTGGGCATGTTATGGAAAGAAGGGGAGGGAGGTCATACTGCATCCCTCAAGAGACCTAGAGGAACTCAGCTCCCCTTATCTATCTGGGACCAGTTTGGAGTTTTCTTTTGTGCTCTAAGATGGGATGTTCAGCCTGGGACAGCCTGTCAGGCAATTGTCTCCTAGAAACCACTGTCTTTTACTTCTGACTCCAAGGAGCCGGATTTGGCCCTTAATCCCATGAGGCTGAGGTGTGTAATACTGGTCTTGGAAGTGCTGGAGTTGCACCAGTTAAGGATGTAGGGGAAACCAAACCAATGAGCTCATGGGGTGGGATAGTTGCTCTCTTCTGCCAGCTGTTTCCTTCTGTGGCACTGACATGAGGAAGAAGCAGTAAAAACTTGGAAAGATTCACCCTGTGCGAGGCAAATGCCTTACAGCAGGTGTCTGAACCTCTCCCATGGCCTGCCCTGCTGAGTTTGCACTGACTGGTCTGCTCTCTCTAGGGAACGTTCAGCAGCCCGACAAACCTGAAGAAAACGTTTAAGGTACGTGATTCTCCCGCTCTTGTGGCAGCACTAGCTGAAAATGTGGGCAGTCAAATTGTATTTAGCAAAGGGACTGAGTAGGAGGAGTTGGAGAGGCTCAGCACTGAGATAGGGAAGGGGGCATGGCATCCTCCTTGAGCAGGGCCATTCTGGAGGCTCAGAAGGGCAAGTGGGAGCTGTGTGGAGGCTTTCACTGTGTGCACTCTGCCTGCAGCAGCACTTTCAAATCTCTGCCTCCTGCTCTCTGCAGCGGTGGCCCTGGCCTCAGGCAGCATCTCCCTTCCTTGAACAGGTGCCATTCCTGTCCAACCTGAAGACCTGTTCAGGTCTTCTGAACTGTGTTAGTGCTCTGACTGCAGCTTTCTGCCTTGCAGATTCCTGATAAGCAGTATGTGCTGACTGCCCTGGCTGCCCGTGCCAAGCTGCGAGCCTGGGATGATGTGGATGCCCTCTTCACCACCAAGGTGAGCTGCAGAAAGCCTTGCTGGGGACTCAGTTCCAGGTACTGATATCTATTACTGATAGCTGGCCTGTTCTGGAGTTACTGGACAGACTGGTTTTATTTCAGCAGGGCCCAGCACCTCTCCTGCAGGGTGTTGCAATACGTTCCTCCTCTCCTTGCCTAAGATCTCTGCTGGGCCTGGTTTGGCTGCAGCAACAAGATCAGAGAAGGGGGCTCCCCTCATGCTCTGTTACCAAATGGTTTGCAGCCAACCTGTACCCAGCCACTGCATGAAGTGCTCTGCCAGTAGTGCATGTGCTGGCTGGTGGCATATGTTGCTGGCACTGGGGAAAAACATTTTCTTATGGCTGGAGAGATTGCCCTTTAGGATTAACATAGGGTTTGGCTCTCATTTCAGAACTGGCTGGGCTACACCAAGAAGAAGGCACCTATTGGCTTCCACCGGGTGGTGGAGATCTTGCAGAAGAACAGTGCTCCTGTGCAGGTGAGCAAGGAACCACTGCTTGTCCTCCTGCTCTTTGTTGGGATTTGGGATGTGAATGTTTCCCTAAGTGAGCTGCTTCCTAGCTGGGAGTGGGAGAACAGCTGGAGAAGCTACTGGCTCTGCCAAGTGGGTGCAGCGCTCGTCTGAGTGACCCATACATCAACAAGAAGTGTGGGTGGCAGTGAGGGCTTGGTCCTAGGCCTGACTACAAGAGGGACAACAGACCTAGGGTTGTCTGGGAACTCTCTTTCCACAGTGCATTGCCACCTTTCTTTGCTACATTAACTCTTCTTATGGTTAATCTGGCTGGCAGTTGTTAATTGATCCATAGGAACGAGATGGCCTAGGACTCTGAGCTTTGTGAGCAAAGCTTTAGTGCCTCTGAGGGCCTGAGCAGTCTTGTCCTGGTCATTCGTTGCCTTAGGAAGGAAAGGGTCGATGGCCTAGGACTCTGAGCTTTGTGAGCAAAGCTTTAGTGCGTCTGAGGGCCTGAGCAGTCTTGTCCTGGTCACTTGTTGCCTTAGGAAGGAAAGGGTCAAGTCTGTGTGAGCAGTGACCTTGAAAGGTTTTGTGATTGGGGTGAGAGAACAGGGCAGGAGGTACCTGCAGAAGGGATGTGAGACACTCTTCCTCCCCTCGCAGGTGCTGACTCTGAGCTTTGTGAGCAAAGCTTTAGTGCGTCTGAGGGCCTGAGCAGTCTTGTCCTGGTCACTTGTTGCCTTAGGAAGGAAAGGGTCAAGTCTGTGTGAGCAGTGACCTTGAAAGGTTTTGTGATTGGGGTGAGAGAACAGGGCAGGAGGTACCTGCAGAAGGGATGTGAGACACTCTTCCTCCCCTCGCAGGTGCTGCAGGAGTATGTGCGCCTGGTGGAGGATGTGGAGACACGGTTGAATCTTGCCATCAAATACAAATGCCATGATGTTGTTATTGAGGTAGGTCCCTGCTGTGCATGTGGAGACATGGGACAAGAGCCTGCTTTTTCTCCCTAGCTTTTCCCATGCTCCGCCACGTGCCACTACTGCCATGTGGGGTCTGCTTGTGGTTCCTAGTAGAAGCCAAGTGAGCCAGGAGAGTGGCTCCTAGCATTTGTGCTGTGGAATTGGGCTGTGGTGGAAACTTGAGGGGAGATTGAAGAGTTGCCCTGCTCATCTGCAGGGCATTATCTAGCTGTGAAAGTGTCCTCTTCACTCAGCTGGGTGCTGGTTTTGCTGTTTATCTAGACATACAGGGATCTAAAGGATCGCATCCAGCTGACAGCGTATAAATGCAAGGTAGAGCGAGGCTCTGCAGATGAAGAGAAGATAAACAGCGTTCTCAACAACATGGTAAGAAACACCTACTTTTTTGTCCAGAGACTCTCATCAGAAATGGTCCTAGATTAGATGTAAGGGCATGGCTGTCCTACGTTCTTTTTATCCTTGCTGGGAAGCTAATCTTCTGTTTGGGATTGCATTCAGTGTAGGAATGAAGGGTGAAACTGATAGAAATAGCACCCTCTGGCAGTAGTTTTGTCCTTGTCGAGGACTGGGGCTCACTGACTCAGTCCCTGAGGGATCTGTGTTCAGCACTGATGTTAGTCTTGTCTCGTTCTCTCTTTTAGCAAATCCGATGGAAGAACTGAGCACCTGTGAAAGAGCCCGCTTGGCCGTTGCCTTGCCAGTGAAAGAGGAAACTGCAGAACCCAGTCCAGTGCCAACAGAGCAACTCTGTTACTACTCATTGCATGATCAGCGTTCGTCAGTGACAGTGGGTGCCCGTGGGACAGTGGCATTCAGGCTGGTTGAAGGCAGCTGCTCTGAAGTAGCCAGCAAAATCATGGTACTGATCCACCAGGGTTGATTCTTTTTGGAATCTGATTCTCTTTGACTTGGCTGTAAGCCAGGCATCGCTTTTGTTTACAGAGGGAAGTTGCTGGGGGACAGCAAGGTTACGTTTGCTCTGGGTGGTGCCTGGGCTTGTTCTCACAAAAGGAACAGGTCAGTCACACACGTGGATCTCTCTACCAGGCAGTGCTGACCAGTCCCTGTAACACTCAAGCTGACTTGAGCATCACCAGTCATGGCTATGGCTGGAGTAAAGCTTACTGGACTGTGCTCTCCCTGCATCAAAGAGTGTGTTGGGGGAAAGGACCAGCTGCACCTTAAAGCTCATTTTTGTTGTTGTTGTTTTGGCTCACCCTAGGAAAAGAGGTGTTGTGTGAACTGCTGCAGAGAGCCAGGACAGCAGCCTCTGCCAGTATCCTTGTGCTGGCACTCTGCAGCTCTTGGAAGATCCCTTTATCAGGGAAGAACAGGCACCCAGTGTGGAGCTGGTCAGAGCCCTGCTGGGTTGGGTGGAGAGCAAGGAGGGACCCCTCTCAGTTGGCCCAAACCTGCTGGCCCCAGCAGCTCTTTTCTCTGAGGGTGTTATGCCAGGAAGGATTGAATTGCACTTTCTCAGAAACACAACTCCTCAGGCAACTGCTGGCTTCATCCTTCCAGACCTCACTTCAACTCCTTAAATAAAGCTGTGTCTTTCTCCTTGGGCTGTTTATTTCCTTCCCACACTGAGCACTTTGTCACTCTATGTGCTAATCCTGAGCAATTTATCACACCTCCCACAAAGTGAGTATGAGGGTGTTTTCTCATGTCCTGAAGCGCACAGTGTGTGTACCACAGAGTGGCTTTCGTTGCAGCAGTACCTTATTTCACACCTTCAATGCCATCAGCACAGCTGAATGAATTTTAATGTCATAGGAGAGTTTGCTGCAGGGGTGGTGACACAAAGGTGAAGGTCATACGTAGTGATGTATCAGTCTGAGGGCAGGTTTGGATT